ATGTGGATACTGATGGATACTTTTCTCGAACAAGGTAATAGCCCATTAGTTTTGTTATAACGTTAGTTGGTTTTAAGTTTGATATCTGTATTTTGTTTTCATTTCTTGTAGCATTCAACAAAATTATTCCACAAACAACATTGTTCATGTGAGTTATAAGCCCCCCCACCTCTCCTCTTCTGACAATCCAGGGGCGTACCCAACAAGATCTCTTAGTTTTTTCAGGTTGTAAACTGATTCCCTTATATTTTAGGTACTCTATGACATATCTAGAAAGCCATTTAATAAATTTATGAGGTTCCAAAGTTCTTATAAATATGATAATGGATCAATAATGATAATGCTATAATTAAAAGGCAAAACGTTCATTGACTTAATTTTCTTTCAATCCCAACATTTTTCACCACTGGCAGATGACGTTAAACTTAAACATATTTTATATCTATAAGTCTACTGTGTAATTTGTTGAAGCCTGTATTATGTTCTTTATTGGATATTTACGAAACTATTGTCCTTTTTAGTACAGTTATGTGTTATGTGCATAACCACACCCAGTTAGTTGTATTAGTATGTATCACTTTGAGAAAAACAAATGGAAAGCCAATGGGTAACTGAAACCTAATGGAGCCTTATCGGTTCCTCAGTAATTTAAAGGCATCTGTGAGTGTACCTAACAAACCGTTAAGGAGACAAAGTAGAATCTTAAGTTTCCGTAATATGGTTTAACTTTTTCCTGAAATTATTCTTCTTTCATGTGACAGTATCTTTTATTTGAATTCTGGTGTACAAAACACTGAGATCACTAAACTGAAACTTATATACATGGAATACATAGACAGTTTAGCGTAGGTTAATGTCGGTTATATGCGGTATATACTGGTATATATGGAGTAATTTCCTCTACGTTCGTTTCATTGACGTTCCCATCAATGATGGTTTCCAGCTGCTTTATGCAATGGAAACTACCAATGATACTTTACTTTAAATTTCCGTTTCTGGAAACTAACTTTGTTGGTTTCCGGTAGTTTACAGTCGCTGAAACTAACCTTGGAAATTTAAATTTTAATGTGTGCATTATATATAAAAACAAATTACCTGTCTGCGAAAGACAGTAAAATAACTAGTCTATCACAAATGTACACTAAAAACATATAACCATAAACACTTTAACAGTACAGTATAAAATGGGCTATTGCTTTTCCTCCTGCATGGGCCCAAGCTGGATACTGTATATAGAAATTATTTTACAAGTGTAACAGTAAATTAATATAGCCCCAATGGAACAACACAAAGCTAAGTTTGCCATTTCATCTAAGCTGAAACCAACAGACTTGTCAGTATCCGGGTACAGAAACCTAGCTGAAACCTACATTACCCAGTATCCAATAGGTTTCCGCAACAACGGAAACTAAGTCATATTGTTATGAATCTTTCAGCGACCTGAAACTAAATGGAAACTCATAATGACAGTTTCAGTTGTAGAAATCAGACGGAAACCTAGATTTGTTAGTTTCAATTTTGTAAACTACGCGGAAACTCACATTGTCTGTTTCCGGATGCTGAAACCTAGCGGAAACGTACATTACCCAGTATCCATTAGGTTTCCGCAAAAATGGAAACGAAGTTATTTTGCTGTGTATGTGCTAATGATTTATGCATTTTTGATGATCGTGTGGTTGGGCTGCAAAGGAAACTCGATATCTGTGTAAATTTTGTAAGTCTTGCGGGGTTACAAATTAATATGGATAAGACGGAGATTTTAGTATTTCGAAATGGGGGTTACCTTCTTAATTATGAAAAATGGTTTTTCGATGGCGTAAAACAGCAACATATTATAATTATCTTTCCTACTAGGTTGTCCTGGAGTGTTTGAACTAAGACGCTAGTGGCAAAAACCAGTAAAGCCTTGTCAGTTATAAAACAATTACAACAGAATTTTACAAATATTCCTGTTCATGTGTTATTTAAACTTTTTTATTGTAAAATAAAACCAATATTGCTGTACGGGGCAGATGTGTGGGGATTTCAAGAAAGAAGTGTTGTTGATAAATTCAAAATAATGTTTGTAAATTTGTTTCAGGGGTCGGTAAACATATATCAAGTACTGCAGCATTAGCTGAATGTGGAAGATGTAGCCTGAATGTAGATTATCATCTTAAATGTGTTACATTTTGGTGTAAACTATTAAGAATGTCTATATTCTGTTTGCAGTGAAAACGTACCGATGAATTCACTTTAAAACAAAAAGGTATTATAATATCAAATAAAGTGAAATTAATATTGCGAATCGTCACAATTTTACCTTGCCAATTGAACATTTAAATCTCAGAATTGTATTCATCTTAGGATAAAAGTTGTTTAACAAACGATCATGCAATGAAATCGCTATTATTGGTTTGCATTACAAAGGGATAAGAGCACAAATGCACGTGCGGTTCGTGATGAGCGTTAATTTAGACCATCTCTACTTGTTTTTATTTGATGTGCATACCCCCTTGTAATACAAACCAATAATAGCGATTTGAAACTATGATCGTTTGTTAAACAACTTTTATCCTAAGTTGAATAAAATTCTGAGATTTTAATGTTCATTTGGCAAGGTAAAATTATGAGGATTTGCAATCATAATTCCACTTTATTCGATTTACTTTTTTAGAAAAATTGAAATTCATCGGAACGTTTTCACTGCAAACAGACTATAATGATCGTTGTCCTAGACAAAGGTATGATAGCATACTCAGATTAGATTCTGTTGGTAGGATTACTTGGGCTTCAAAAATACGTAAGCTTTTGTATGAGTATGTATTTGGTTATGTGTTGCTTTCCCAAGACATTGAAAATGTGTCATTATTTTTATCCTTATTTAAGCAGAGGTTAATTGATTGTTTTAAACAAACTATTAGTGGTAACATCATGGATTCATCCAGTCTTGTACATTTTAAAAGTATTGTATCATCATTGCCTCTTGATAATCACATTTTAAGAAATATTGTAAGATGCCTAAGAAGATATTTATGTTTGTTAAGATGTGTACTAGAAATGAAGATGAAGTCCATTTACTGTTTGAATGTGATTAATATGTAAGTTTGCTGTACACAGGCCGATGGCCTACAAGCTGAAAATAAAACTTTCCAAACACCAGGCGTCAGTAGACCCACAACAGTTACTCACTAATCATGGCCGTTCCACATTGAAAAGCTCAGGCGCTCCGCTCGCCTGGTATGGGGGTGTCAGACGGTCGCGACCCCTAACTAACCACATTACATTCATGTACTGACACAAATACATTCAAATATAAACGCAACACCAGGTTCTACGCTCACATAGGTTTACTTTGCTTCAGTTCATCTCTCTTAGTACAATTTCAACACAAGACAGGATTGGCTCATCGCTTAGAAGGAACTGCGTGACATGGATTGGCTTCCGTCAATTGAAAGGCGACCACTGCTCTACTCGTGTTATGCATTTTTACCTTATAGCATCCTCCGCCTGTGGACAAGAGCTGCCCACAGCTGGGATAAGTTAACCACGGGATCAGGTCAGATGTCTTACAAGTGACAACATGAGATACGCAAGGGAAGCGAAATAGGAGCGCTAATTTCTGATAGGATATGGTAACCAGTTTCCAACTTTAAAAATATTCGGGACAACCTTGGATACGGTATATCAAAATAGACTATCATGCCAAAGAATAAGAGAATGATCCTATTTTACTTCGGGTAACCACAAAGCATCTACATCACACATATATTACGAGATGATAACACAACATTAAATAAAAGTCAATATTGAGTGTCAAAAATGTCACTGAAATGGGGAGGAGCTTAACTGTTCTCCCGTTCGAATTGGTGCGCGGCCATTAATATTCAACACTTGAAAAGAGTGTTAAACCACGACCAACATAGTTAGTGGAACAATATGAATTGGACACGATATTAATACTGTTTGAAATATCAACCTGTGTACAATTTAAGTTGACAAAAACAGCATTGTTGACTGATTTCTACATGCAGAATTACAACTTAGTTGAATGACAATTCTCCGGTATGTAACATAACGAGTAACGAGTACGAATGGAATGGCGTGTAAACCACGGACTGCATCTGTAGTCGAATAACAGTGTATGGACATCTAACTTACAACATTCAGTAAATGCTTTACAGTTTAGAACACAAAAGCGAACAACATATACATGTGTGATGGGCTGAGAGTATACACTGAAACACGGATGCAATCTATCCAAGCAAGTAATACTGAAGAGAGGCAACAGTAGCATAATGGAATACAACAACTATCAACTATCCATAATGTATGAGACATCAATTCCGAACACAATATTGTCGTAGGAATGAGTAGTAATATATGAGTAAACATTCTCTTTTGTCACTCAGAAGTTATGATGCTATTTAATGTTAAGATATTTGAAAAAATATTACTATAACTTTAGAACATGGAGTATTTAACGGATAGTTTCACTATGAAATTCAGACCATTATGTAGTCTCAAATGATCAATGTGTCCAAGTGACAAGTGTTTATAACGCTGGTCGTTAATACATTGCATCACAGCATCAAATGTGACGCGCAGCAATAAACAACACAGACAAAAAGAAATTGTCCACACGTGCCAGCTGGCAAAGACTGAGAATAGGGTAGAGTTAACATAATGGTAGACTAACAACTAGTCTCTGAAATGAACATATTTTACTGAAAAAAGTTCATAGTAAAAAAATAAAATATAATGAAAAGGAGCCCTGAGACTTTCTTCATTTTCAGAAGCTGAGGAAATCTAGACTTGCCACATTTTCTAGACTTGTGTGGGCTTTCTTGGATATATTTGCTTCAGGGTCTGTACGAGAGACTAACATAATGGGTGCTGCCTGCGATATGGATTATGTATCGGGAAAGCTGCTCCACAATGTCGGAGAACCATAAATCACCTGTCATAGTTGGAAGAAATTCTATTAATCAACTGATATAAATCTTTCCAGAAGGATATACAATTGACAGACACTGAACTAGAAGGTTAATTAGGGTAACACATATAGGCATAATGGAACAGTCCGCTGTCTTGTGAGTTGAGCAGGGTGAGCCTGAAACAGGATCGTTACTGAGAAGTTTGATTGTGGGTAAATAGAACTTTGTTGTGATTAAATGATAAATGATTTCTCTTCTCAAAATTGATTTACTATCAATTACTGTCGAATATAAAACAGGTTTGTCACTGAGAGGTTTGATTGTGTTTATTGATAGAAAAGACCCTTCCCGATAATAGCATACGTACAACAGACGTTAACTGAGAAAACGTTTTGTTAGAGAGATATATATAGATATGTACATAATTGAAAACATTCTGATCTGCAGTAAATAAGACACCTGCATTGCCATGTAAGATACGATTAATACGAATCAGTGTTCTAATTTTAACAATACTTTCTAAAGATTGTAACAGTTATTGGACATTCAAGGAAGTAATGAAAAACATTCTCACAGCCATGGCCACAGTCACATGATGCGTCATATTTTAAATATTTATTCTAAATAAATCGTGCACTCGTCATATGTCTTAATATTGTGTGCAAAACATATAACTTCTTTATTTGATATGAATAATATTTAGGTTCACATTTGTCTTTATTTGATTTACATGATACAACAGTGTCGCAATTTGTAATAGCTAAGCTAATGCCGACTCCCCTTAGACTAGAAGGTTAAACCGAAATGTTTATGACAATACACTTTTTATATATAGCAGTAATAAAAATTCAAATTCTTTTCGTCCATCTTTCAAAATATATAATATAGCTTCAGTTTGTACCTGTGTTTTTACTTGGACTATTCCATTATAATGTGTAGGTAACAGGTAGTAGATAATCTGTTCACTGAACCGTAAATGTTGTTGTTTTAAGGTGTCTGCGAACTGGCTGTCTGCTTAATGGGAGGACACCATACAGATATATGTTGGGTGTGAATGTGAAAATAGTAAGAAAGGAATTCCTGTTGAACATGAAAATTGGTCAGAGGATTTCTAGCAGATAACGTCAGATAGAATTGTGAGACCATGATTGGTGGAACGGAATACATCCAACCACCATCAATTACAAATTATCATACTCTTTTTCATACGCTGGGAAACATGGCGTAAATCAACTTGAAATCCTTTGTCCTTTACGGGCGTTATTAAACACTTCAATATCAACAAGTAATAAATGTGATATTTTAAATGCATTCTTTTCTAGGATAGGTTGTACAAGTTTCAAAAGGTTTTAATGTGCACGAATTGAAACATTCCGATAAGAATAGAAGATTATAGGTTACATAATTTTGAAGTTGTCGTTTTCTGACAGTTATGAATTCTAGTGTCTATATATGTTGAATTCATACAGTTTGAACACACAGTGGCAAGGAATTTTAAATATACAAATCCGACAAGCTGGACGCTTCTCAGTGCGACCATTGCAAGTTGATATAGTATTTTTTATGCCACTGATAAACATGGCCTGGTTCGATTTCGAGAGCCTTCGAACGCAGCCCATTTAATCTGAATTTAACATCACACTAAGATTTAATACCGCTTTTGGTTTTGGGCTATGAAAATTTGGACAGAGTTTTTCGTGTTCACCAAAACATGTTTGCAAATTCCAGGTAAAATATTCAATATATTGATCTTTCGCTTCCGAAACTGCCAAATAATCAGGTACATTCATTACTTGAGTGAATTGGTAAATAATATAATAGCCTGGATCCTTATGAGCAACGTGAAACAACGGATATTCTGCATTGATACTTCTTAAATAACATTTAAAGCTTTAAACTGGTAGCAAAGAAAGACTCAAGTGTTGATTAACTAATTGTTAAATTCCAAAATACATTTAATTAATTTCTTGTCGAATAGTCGTTAAATATAAAAAATTAAAATACTTTTCACTGCATCTATTATCTGTCCAGCGATCTTATAGATATCCAAGTGAAATCTTGTATCTGGCCAGCGATCTTATACATATCCCAATGATTTCTTGTATCTGTCCAGCGATCTTATACATATCCCAGTGATTTCTTGTATCTGGCCAGCGATCTTACAGATATCCCAGTGATTTCTGGTATCTGGTCAGGCGCTCTTATAGATATCCCAGTGATTTCTTGCATCTGTCAGGCGATCTTATATATATCGCGGTGACTTCTTGTATGTGTCAGGCGATCTTGTAGATATCCCGATGATTTCTTGTATCTGGTCAGCGATATTCTAGACATCCCAGTGATATCTTGTATCTGTCCAGGGATCTTATAGATATCCCAGTGATTTCTTGTATCTGGCCAGCGATCTTATAGATATCAGAGTGATTTCTTGTATCTGGCCAGCGATCTTACAGATATCCCAGTGATTTCTGGTATCTGGTCAGGCGCTCTTATAGATATCCCAGTGATTTCTTGCATCTGTCAGGCGATCTTATATATATCGCGGTGACTTCTTGTATGTGTCAGGCGATCTTGTAGATATCCCGATGATTTCTTGTATCTGGTCCAGTGATCTTCTAGGATATCCCCGTGATATTCTGGTATCTGTCCAGGCGATCTTATAGATATCCCAGTGATTTCTTGTATCTGGCCAGCGATCTTATAGATATCACAGTGATTTCTTGTATCTGGCCAGCGATCTTACAGATATCCCAGTGATTTCTGGTATCTGGTCAGGCGCTCTTATAGATATCCCAGTGATTTCTTGCATCTGTCAGGCGATCTTATATATATCGCGGTGACTTCTTGTATGTGTCAGGCGATCTTGTAGATATCCCGATGATTTCTTGTATCTGGCCAGCGATCTTACAGATATCCCAGTGATTTCTTGTATCTGGTCAGCGATATTCTAGACATCCCAGTGATATCTTGTATCTGTCCAGGGATCTTATAGATATCCCAGTGATTTCTTGTATCTGGCCAGCGATCTTATAGATATCCTGGTGATTTCTTGCATCTGTCAGGGATCTTATAGATATCCCTGTATCTTTGTGATTTCTTGTATCTAGTCCGGCGATCTTATAGATATCCGCATGATTTCCTATGTCAGCTAAGTTCCAGCGATTCTTACAGATATCCCGGTGATTTCTTGTATGTGTCAGGGATCTTATAGATATCCGGTGATATCTTGTATCTGTCCAGGGATCTTATAGATATCCCAGTGATTTCTTGTATCTGGCCAGCGATCTTATAGATATCACAGTGATTTCTTGCATATGTCCAGGGATCTTATAGATATCCCGACGATTTCATGTATCTGGCCAGCGATCTTATACATATCCCAGTGATTTCATCTATGTGGCCAGCGATCTTATAGATATCCCAGCCATTTCATCTATGTGGCCAGCGATCTTATAGATATCACAGTGATTTCTTGTATCTGGCCAGCGATCTTACAGATATCGCAGTGATTTCTTGTATCTTGCCAGCGATCTTACAGATATCCCAGTTATTTCTGGTATGTGTCCAGGGATCTTATAGATATCCAAGTGATTTATGGTATCTTTCAGGCGATCTTATAGATATCCCGGTTATTTCCAGTATCTGTCCACGGTTCTTATATATATCCCAGTGATGTATTGTATCTGTCAGGCGATCTTACAGATATCCAAGTGATTTCTTGTATCTGTCTGGCTGTCTGAAAAAAATCCCGATGATTTCTTGTGTCTGTCAAGCCATCTTATAGATATCCCGGTGATATCTTGTATCTGGTCAGCGATCTGATAGATATCCCGATGATTTCTTGTAACTGTCAGGCGACCTGATAGATATTCCGGTGATTTCTTGTATCTGGTCAGCGATCTTATAGAAATCACGGTGATTTTTTTATCTGTCAGGCGATCTTTAAGATATCCCAGTGATTTCTGGTATCTGTCAGGCGCTCTTATAGATATCCCAGCGATTTCTTGTATCTGTCAGGCGATCTTATATATATCGCGGTGACCTCTTGTATGTGTCAGGCGATCTTGTAGATATCCCTATGATTTCTTGTATCTGTCAGGAGCTCTTATAGATATCCCAGTGATTTTTTGTATGTGTCAGGCGATCTTATAGACATCCCTGTGATTTCTAGTATCTCTCCAGGGATCTTATAGATTTCCCGGTGATTGCTTGCATCTGGTCAGGAATCTTTTAGATATCCCGATGATTTCATGTATCTGGCCCGCGATCACATAGATATCCCAGTAATTTCATGTATGTGGCCAGCGATCATGTATATCCCAGTGATATCTTGCATCTGTCAGGCGATCTTATAGATATCCCGGTGACTTCTGGTTTCTGGTCAGCGATCTTATAGATATCCCGGTTATGTCTTGCATCTGTCATACGATCTTAATGATATCCCAACGATTTCTCGTATCTGTAAGGCGATCTTATAGATTTCCCGATGATTTCTTGCATCTGTCAAGCGATCTTATAGATATCCCGGTGATTTCTGGTATCTGTCAGGCGATCTTATAGATATCCCGATCGTTTCTTCTATCTGTCAGGCGATCTTATATATATCGGTCATTTCTGGTCTCTGGTCAGCGATCTTATATACATCCCGGTGATTTCTTGTATCTGTCAGGCGATTTTATAGATAACCCGATGATTTTTTGCATCTGTCAGGCGATCTTATAGATATCCCGGTGATTTCTGGTATCTGTCAGGCGATCTTATAGATTTCCCGATGATTTCTTGCATCTGTCAAGCGATCTTATAGATATCCCGGTGATTTCTTGTATCTGTCAGGCGATCTTATAGATATCCCGATGGTTTCTTCTATCTGTCAGGCAATCTTATAGATATCCCTGTCATTTCTGGTATGTGTCCAGGGATCTTATAGATATCCAAGTGATTTCTTGTATCTGTCTGGCTATCTTATAGATAACCCGATGATTTCGTGTGTCTGTCAAGCCATCTTATAGATATCCCGGTGATTTCTTGTATCTGTCAGGCGATCTTATAGATTTCCCGATGATTTCTTTCATCTGTCAAGCAATCTTATAGATATCCCGGTGATTTCTTGTATCTGTCAGGCGATCTTATAGATATCCCGATGGTTTCTTCTATCTGTCACGCAATCTTATAGATATCCCTGTCATTTCTGGTATGTGTCCAGGGATCTTATAGATATCCAAGTGATTTATGGTATCTTTCAGGCGATCTTATAGATATCCCGGTTATTTCTAGT